ACAAGAGTGCCCCACAGTTTCCTACAAGAGTGTCCCGCAAGAGTGTCCCACAAGAGTGTCCTTCAAGAGTGTCCCACAAGAGTGTCCTTATAGAGTGTCCCACAAGAGTGTCTCACAAGTGTGTCCCACAAGAGTGTCCTACAAGAGTGTGCTACAAGAGTGTCCCGTAAGAGTGTCCCACAAGAGTGTCCTACCAGAGTGTCCCACAAGAGTGTCCTACAAGAGTGTCACGTAAGAGTGTCCCACAAGAGTGTCCCGCAACAGTGTCCCACAAGACCACAAGAGTGTGCTACAAGAGTGTCCCTTAAGAGTGTCCCACAAGAGTGTCCTACAAGAGTGTCACGTAAGAGTGTCCCACAAGAGTGTCTCACAAGTGTGTCCCACAAGAGTGTCCGACAAGAGTGTCCCACAACAGTGTCCCACAAGAGTGTCTCACAAGAGTGTCCCTTAAGAGTGTCCCACAGCCGCAGTTGTGGATTTCTCTGTATTATGTGGACGGTTATCATTTTCAAGTGCTTCTTTTCGAGGTTTTGGGACAATGCCATTGTTTCTTTCGTGATGTGGATCTGCCAGAACCTTTACGCCAGTGCTTGATTTGAATGCAAAACATCTACCCTTCATGACGAAGACGGAGCTTGGTGGTGAAGTCCCCAGCACATGCTGCCTTGGTGGTGGTTTCCCCAGCGCATGATGTCCAACAGCGTACCGGAGTGTGAAAAAGATAATCTAACCGGCTGTGTCTCTTTCTATACGCAATGGATTGACATATGTGTTTGCATTCGGGTTCGTGGGCTCCATCTTGTTTTTTTTTCCCGGTGGACCGCGGATCCACGGAAGAGATTCCCTGTTCCCAGCCCATGGATGTCAACCCAGGGTGAGTTCTGGATTAATGGGTGCCATGACCCATTTGGCCAATATGGATGGTTCGGAAACTAGAGTCTGTCTACCCATAGAAAAAGCCCATGGATCGGGGGTCCCCAAATGAAAAATAACAAAACCATACTGCCTGGACCAACCTGCGTGGTCCTTCGCTCCAGGCAGTGACAGGGGCCACGGGTGCAGTGGCCAAGCCACTGCAGAAGGCGCGTTCGAAGCGAGGAGCGAATTCGCTCACCTGCATGTTGACCGACCAGAAGTAGTGGTTACAGACTTACAAGTAGTAATTGTGTTGTCATTGTCATGTATTTAAGTAAAAACATTGTAAGTCTGTCAGTGTAAGTGGTACCATTAGTTGAAGTCCAAATCTTTCAATTAGTAAGTAGTCATCCTTTTTTGGGGGGCGTCCAAAAGAGCCCAGCCATTGTGTTTGCATGGGGCATCTTCCCGTGCTCCCTCAAACCGATTGGAAGACCGTCCTTCACTCACCAAATGTTGATCAGCACCGTTCACCGTAGAGTCGGACCATTTTGGAGACCCGTGGGGGGGGTGCTGTTCGGATTTCAACGCTATTGGACTGCATTCCACTGGGAGGTTTCGAATCGAGGTTCGGATTGGCCCCAGTCAGAAGTTTGTGTTGGAAGCTTGGGACGAGTTTGTGGAGTTTTTCGGTGTCAACCGATCCCAAGAGTCCAAGAGATCAAGCCCAATCATCCTGAACAACCGGTCGAACGTATGCAGGTAGAGTTTCCCCTAGAACACTGAGGAGATAGAGAAAGGAAAGGACATGCCAGACACTAGCACTTGATATCTTTTTAATCTCCACACTTGCAGGCTGGTGCCATGATTCAGAGAAACCATTACATTAAACATCATTGCATATCCATATCTGACTTTTCAACCCTGCTGCCATACATGCCAACAATTCATGAGGTTGGCCTAACATCTGTGGGATCATTGCCCTATATTTCCCCTGCAGCTGTATGCAGCATGGAAAAAGGATGATTCCTGCAGGCGCAGAGCGACCTCGAAGAGAAGATTCAGACGGCCAGACCGTTGTTTTTTGGCGTTGTTCGTTGTGTGGTGCGCTTTTGCTTCTGACCCATGGCAGTCAGGGACTAAACTCAGGCTGGCTAGAGATAGCTGTCTGTCCAACAAGTGAAGAACCGTTTGCATACGAAAGTAGGCTTTGAAGATGCAGATCTTTTTTTCCATGAACAGTAGTAACTCGGCGCTTTTTTCCCCTCTGTCCTCTTGTCCATCCATGTAGATGACATTGACCACCTTTCGCTAATCCAGCTTTGGCATGTTGCTGGGCTCAAGCCTGCGACCACCTCCACTCGTGCTGCTCTGTCGACCCCAAAAAGCTCCGTCCGGACCAAATGGCGTTGTCCCAGAACGAGAACATCCGAGTGGAGGCAGCTCTTTGGATCGCTTCGCCGTTCGCAATCCGCTGGAGATCCGTTTTTTTGGGGTGTTTGCCCAGTTCCGTTTGAAACGATGGGTGAGGACCGGAGAAGCGGGGTTGCAAGATCGGGGCTTGGATACTTTCGAATATATAGGGATTTGTTTTTTGCTTTCTATCAGAGAGGACGAGGCGTCTGCAGAGAGAAAAACAAGCAGTCGCAAGCGGAATAGCTGGATCTTCACTGAGAAGAAGTTGGTTGTATGTTGGTGGCCTTTTTTGGGCGACTTTGACACTTCTGCGGCCAGTCTGAGACCTGGCAAGACAAGATGAAGGCCGGGCTCAACCAGGGCTTGGCTTTGGTGCAGGAGCGGGACTGAGAAGACCCGGGTCCAAGCGCGCCAGCGTGAAAGGGGTGGGTGGAAGCTGCAAGAGACTCGGGCCTCGGGCTTTGACAAGCCACAATATCCGAATCGAACTCTAGAGCAGTTTGAGTTGCACACCAACTCTTAGAACCAATCATACTGGCACACAGCGGCATACATGTGCGTTCATACAATTTCATACATACATGGAGAGCTCTTGTTGTTCTTGTGCTCTTACCAGTAGTTGGAGAAGGTCAAACGAAGCACCCTTTTGACATCTCTTGGATCAGACGTTCCAACTTCAATGCCTTGTCATTGACTTCCCGAAGCGAAACATTGAATGCCGTGTCCCAGCCTTTGCAAGAAGGAACCACAAACTCTGCTGCGAGATGTGCCGAGTTGTTCTGGCATCGCCTTGAAGACTCCCATATGCTTACATATGCTGAAACATGCCCTTTTTTGTCTAGTACCAAAAGAGGAGTAGCATTTTTGAGGGTGTTCTGAGAACATTGAAGCCAAAGCAGTTGAAGACTTGAGGACACATCTACTGTTGATCTTATACGGCAGGTCACTAGGACCATCCAGGACTCCAACGTCCTGAGAATTGGACCTTGAAGCACCCTCGTAGAACTCGAGCCGCAGCGGTAAAGCCGTAAGACGATTAGAAGTAACGAGTGATATCCAGACCAGGCGTTACCCCCTGAGGCTCCTGGCCCACATCCTCAGAAGGCAGTTCGACCCCCCTGGCACCCACCCCACCTTCTTTTCGGATGTGTTTGGAGACCTACGGAACCGTCCTTAAGTTCACAGACTTCCAGATCCAAGTTTCGGGGTTCCATCGGCCTCGTCTCGGCTGTGGGCCCCGACCCGGGCCCGTGGGACGGGCCGAGGGATGGCGCGCGGTCGCGTTCGCCGGGGCGAGCGATGGGAACTCTTAGACCCTTTGGATCGTTTCGCTTATGGAGTCGGGTGCCCGGTCCCGGATCGATGTTTGGGAGAAACCCGGTGACCCGAACACACGGCCTCCCTTGGGGGAGGGTTTAGTCCGAACACACGGTGCACGGTGTGAAGACTACCATCGTTGGCTCTGGGAGGAGCAAGCGCAGAAGGGCTATGACGCCACCAAGGAGCGCGTGAACACCGCACGAGCGGGACAAGAGCTCTTGGATAAAGGTGCGACGTGCAGAGGACCAGGGGGATGTTTGGTCTGGATTGCTTGCTTGGCAGACGCGCGGAATCATCGGGTGGATTTGGGTTTTCCCGGTTCCTGGGTGAAGGTGCTGGCATGGGGAATATCTTGTATTTGGGTCCGGGTTCCGAATTAGCAAATCCAAGATTGACAGGTGACAGATTGGAAGGTGATTGGAAGCGACCTGGTGCTGCAATCAGCTGGGGTCAAGACATGTCAAGACAGGAAAGGCGGAAAGGACTGTATTGGAGATTGCATTCTATGACATGTTTGTGTCTCTCTCTCTCTCTATATATATATACCAGCAGTCACAAAGGGGTGCTTAATGGAGGTTAGGGGTGCCCAGAACATCCACTCACTTGAGGACTAAACACCACCCAACTCCATGTGACTCCTGGTAAATACACACACTCTTCTTTTGGGGCAAGCCCTAGGTTTCGGACCCTGCTCGGCCAGCGGGTTTTCGTTGCGTGCGCTCCGTCAGACCCGTCTGTTCTCCTCGGGTAGGTGGCGAGGCGGCGGAGAGCGCCATCCGCGCCAAGATGATGTCCAAGGCGCCCGGCCAGGGAGAGGGGCGCCCCCCAGAATCACGGCATAAGCGCTTTGCGCGAGAGAAATGGACGGCGCAAAGATTGTTTCCAAAGATTGGAATTTCCAAGGACATCCAAAAAGCCTTCAAGATAGTAAACACACACTTATTGATATGCGTACTGACTCGATTGCGGTTGCCACACGCCAGCCTAAGTAAACCGCCTAAGGGTGCGGGTAAGATACAAAAGCCCTCATCGTCTCAAAGCTTCCAGAAGGTTTCAAGAGTTCAAGTTGGCAAAGCACGAAAACGAACAACGGCGACAGGTTGACGACGTTCCGTGCAAGTCTGCGGAACTCATTAGCACTTTACATCACCTGATGGGCCTGCAAAACAGCCTGAGCGAGGGAGACCACTGGAGTCAATGTGTTCAAAGCAGGTACACGGAGGTGATCAATCTCCGCTTCCCCAATCGTGGAGCAGCTTTGTGGGAACAGGTATCCACGATGGGCCTGTGCCCCCTGCAACAAATCCAACTGGATCCCTGTGACTCCAAAAGGTACACACACACAAACGCCTCCCGTTAAGGGAGGCGAGAAAAATTCAGGCTGCGACTGACGACATGAAAGGAGGACGAGACAGACCGTAGGTATGTGGTTGGATGGGAATGTGCACGTACATACTAAGGCCAGGACCAGTGTGGGCGCAAACGAAAGAAGGGATGAGATGACAAGACATGAAGACAGGGAGACATGGAAGAAAAGAGGAAAAGAGAGGTGTGTGAAGGGGACAAAGATGAAAAGGGAACCAAATGGAGGGACAGGAGCAGATGACACCAAACCTCATTGAAAACTTGTTGTGACTGCTTCGTCAGTATGTAAGCACGCCGCGCACGAGGGAGGGAGGGGAGGGAGAGAAGAGAGAAAAGAAAGAGAAACAGAAAAGGAAACGACGGTGTTCCCAGCTACGACACAAGCGTCCAAGGACACACCAAGAGAAGAAGAGAAGGGTTCCCAGCAATGACAGCAGCATCCAGGGACACCCAGGCAAGAAAGAAAGGGGAGGAAAGAAAGAGAAAAAGAAGGAGAGAGAGAGAGAGAG